ATAATAAAGTTTTTAAATTTAATATATAATAATATATTTTTTTATTTTATATTTGATATAATTTTGAATTTTAGTATTTTTAACATGATTTTGAATTTTGGTATGACTTTGAATTTTGACATGATTTTGAATTTCAACATAACTTTAAATTTCAATATAACTTTAAATTTTGGTATTTTGACAATTAAATTTTATTTGTCGAAATAGTATTTAATAATTTCAGCTTGACAGATTGCTAAAACTCCTGAATTTCAGCAAGCATCCTTAGTTAAAAGAATACAATTGTTATCAATCTTTAAGTGATTTTGTTACTAATATTTTTAGTACTTATTCACATTCAGTCTAATAGTCATAAAGTATTATTAATACTTTGAATTATCATTAAAATATTGGAAGTTTTCCCTTGAATATTTCTTAAATTTTATAAATAGCTTTGAGTATTTCAAAAGTTTCATCAAAATGGTAACAATATATCTTTTATATATTTTTCTAAGCTAAAATATATGCTATATTTATAATAATTTAATTTTTTTAATCTAAAACTAATCTATTTTATTTAAAATAAATATAATTTATTTTATAAATTTCTTGTAATATTTATTTTCATATTTTATATCTTTTACTTTAATATAATTATTTATTATTAAGCTAATTTAGTTTTTGAAAATTAATTAATATATATCTTTTATACTAATAATAATAATATGAAAATAATATGAAATAATATGAAATATAATTAAAATAGAATAAAATATAAATGAATAATATAAATATAAATGAATAATATAAAATATATAAAAAATAGTATGAACTAAGACTCTGAAAAAAAGTTGATTTAATTTGAGTTTGATTTAATTTGAGTTTGATTTAGTTTGAACTTGAATCAGACTCAAACTTGATCAAAAATCTAGTTCAAAAATTGAATTCAATTAAAAATTTGATTTAAGTTCAATTCAAACTTTGAACCTGATTAAAAGTCCAGTTTGAGTTCAAGTAAATATTTAATGAAGCTCTAAATAAAGTTATAGATCTTAATTAAAGCTATAAATTGATATAAAATAATTAATATTTAGAATAAATATTCAAAAAGTTATATAAGTTTTAAAAAATATTATAATTTTAATCTGCTTTAGTTTTAGTATAGTAAATATTTATTTTGCTATAGTAATTATAAATTATAATTATAAGTAAAGTTGTAATTATAAATAAGAGTTACAAATTGATATAAAATAATTGCTATCAATAATAATTATTTGAAGAATTATATAGTATTTATGATCAAATTTAATAATTATATAAATAAAAATATATTAGTTAACATTATATAAACTTTTAATCTCATTAAATATTACAAATTATACTTTTAATTAAAGTTATAATTCATATTTAGAGTTACAAATTGATATATAATACTATATATTAATCTCTAATTAAACTCAAACTAGACTTGAACTCATATAACAGTTCAGTTTGAATCCAGTTCAAACTTTGAATTTTTCTTGAATTTAAATCAAAATTCAATTCGAGTTCAGTTCAAATTTCAAATCAGATTTGAATTCAGACAAAAGTTTGATTTAGTTCAGTTCATGAAAATACTGATATGAACTAAAAAGATCATAATTTGTAAATTATATATTAACTAACTATTCAATAGAAATATATTTTAAAAACTAATTAAATTTATAATAATCATTATTCTTTATTAAATACTAATAGTAATAATATTGTTTATAATTTGATATTTCTTGTATTTAATTCTATATAATTCTATATATTACTATATTATTACTTAAAATAATATTATTAAACAATCATATTAATAATTAGTATTTGAAATTCAATTCAAATTTTGATTTGAATTTTGATTTAAATTCAAATTTCAGTTTGAATTTTGATTTGAATTTTAATTTGAATTTCTATTTGAATTTCAATTCAAAATTCAATTCAATCTATAATTTTATTGAATATTTAGTTTTTATAACTTATCTATAAAAATAGTATATATTTTAGTATAAAATAAAAGAAGTAAGTTAATCAAGTTGAACTTATCTTTTGTTATATATTTCTTTTTTACTTTAGTTTTTTATAATCTCTTGTCTTAATTGCGAAATTATTGTTATTATTTGATTTATAATCTTTCATCACTACTGCAAAATCATATTTCTTAATCTTTTATCTATGTTATCAAAGTCAAAAAGTGTTTAATAAAAGAAAATTATATTTGACTTATTAATAAATTAATTATTAAAAACATAATTATCTTTGAATATTTCTGATTTCATTCTAGCTGATCAATAAATGAACATATATTATCTATCTTTAGATAACTTAGTAAACTCTTCCACTTTAAAAAATTATTTATATAAACTCTTTTACTGACTTTATCTCACATGTTTTACTATACTCTCTCATGTGATAAGGCTTAAAATCATACAAAATAATAACAATATGAATCAAAAATCAAGGTTCTTTATTTTTAGGAGTGCAAGAAAAGATTTTTATTTATTTTTAAGTTATTATCATTATATTATTTATTTATATTATCTATACAAATATTTCCTTGTTCTATATTAATAATAAAAAGATCTTTATATTTTATATTAAATAATTTTATATTTTTATATCAGTATACAATAATATTTAAAGAATAAAAAGAGATTAAAACTTTAATAAAATTAATTTATTCATTTAATTAATAATTTAATAGGAAGGATCAGGAGTGATTGAATGGGGAAAAATGATATTAGTAGAATTTATCGGCTTTCCCAGACATATGACAAAACCCAAAGCAAACATGACTCTATTCATGGAAAAGTACACAAACGAAAACGATACAAGCTTCGCAGGGTCATGCTTCGTATACATAAAAAAATCCGTTGTCTTATTAATGATTGCCATCATAAACTTGCCAAATGGCTATGTCAAGACTACACGGATGATGTTAACATGGTCGCACTTCCGATTCCGCCAATATCTTCTACATAAGGTTCGTGAGCATCCGTGGTGTCAGGTAATTGTATGCACTGAAGAATATACTAGTAAGACGTGTGGGTGCTGTGGCCATATCCATCAAAAACTGGGTGGATCCAAAGTGTTCCGTTGCCCCAGTTGTACAACTGAGCTTGATCGGGACATCAATGGTGCTCGCAACATACTTCTTCGCTATATCACCCACCAAATCAAGAGTCGGTTTATGCCGGCGCTGGGACCTACCCCCTAGGATCTTGATGATCCTTGCAGAACATGTATATTTCCTTATTGGGCATGATCATAAATGTGATGTTTGATAAGGAATATATAGGTTTAATTGTAGGCGTGGGATAGTCAAGATTTTGTTTACAAATGATCGCTTGTCCAATCACAAATCGACAAAATTTATCACACCATTTAAAAGACCCCCGGGGATATATTGTCCGGGGTACATAATGGCCATTTACTGTAACATGGTGTTAGAGAATGTCAAAGAGGTATTATCATAAATCGTTTTAATCATTATTTTATATATGTGGACGGAAACACCAAAAACCAACAAAGGTAAGAAAGTGAAGCCGGTTAACGAGAATCGATTCATTGCTATGTTCCTACGCGGGGACTCGAAGAATGTGAGAATCTTTACAATTATTTAAAGTATCATCTCAAGTTAAGTTCCATGCATAAGAAAGTTTGCTATTTATTATCTATTGAAATTGATCGATTAGAGTCGTTGCGTTTGATAGGATGTTTTGAATATACTAATTGATCAAACAAATTAATTTCTAATAAATATACGCTCCCTGTCTCTCTAATAAAAGTTCTCCCCCACTTTCGATTAAATCCCCTAATTTTTTGTCCATCTCGAGTCGCTGACCTGTTTCTTTATTATATAGCAATAGAAACTAATCAAAAATAGATATTGCATTAGTATATGTTAAGAGAGACACTAATAAAGGAAGAAAATGGTTTTCACATTAGGATCACCAAATGTCAACTGATTATTTGTGTTGTTAATCTTTCCAGTAATAGCGATACGATCTAATACCTTACCGGTTGCCCAGTTCTATAAAAGACAAATAATTAAGTTAGATAATGGATTAAAATGAGAATTGCAATTTGTTACCTTATTAAAGAACAAAGGTTTAGGTGATAGCTTAGAATCACGTGGAAAATGTACACAGAGATAAATACGTGAATCATGTGGGATTGACTCGTCACCCTTTAAATGTGTATAAATTAAGAATGAATAAAGTACATCTCAAAGATAACTGACATATAAATACGGACCTGTGCTTTGGATTTAAGTTTCATCACTTCAACAATTTTACTTGTCTTCTTTTTCGGTTTGTCATTTATTGGATTAGTAGTAATATTTACCAAAGACGATTTTGAGGTGATTTTGGATTGTGAATCAGCTTTAGATGCCCTTAAATATTGTGCTTTAATTTCTTCTGCTTTTGCGCGTCTTTTTGCCTTTGCGTCGGATGCAACAGTTAATGAGCAACATTGATGTGATGCAGGATACCGATGTCTATACAAAGAATTGAATTAATCGAATTATCAATTGTATTATTCCACCCACCACTTACTTTAGACAAAACATTTCACCACATCCATCACAAATAACAAACACGAATGCATCACCCTCGTTGACTGATTTGCATTCAGACAATTTACATTTTTTTCTTATTGTTGATGAAAGACCGGATAGTAGATGAAGTGTACACTTTGAAGATTGGTGCTCTGTTAACTATCACATATTTTTATGTTATTAATCTACTAAGAAAAATCAATTAACAATCATATTATAATCAAATAGCATGTACCGTTTCCTCGATAGTCTTGCCATGAGGAATCAATAGCATTGATGAACACGTCTCACATATTCGGATATTCTATGCTCAGAAGCCAGATTAATTCATAATCGAAAAGTATTTATAAAAGAAAATCAAATAACAAACTTTTTCGTTCGTCTCCCATAATTTACACTCATGATTCGTAGGGTATCTGTGATCAAGACTTCAAACATGTCAAAATCTATTTTTTCAGGATTTCATATTCGTCTCTTTTGTTCTAAACACTCACCAAAAATATAGTTTACAACAGCCACAAAGAAAGGGCAAAAAATCTATTTATCAGCATAAAAGCAAAAAACGTAAAAAAGATGAAAAAAATGAATCTGGCCATCGATGTAAATACTTGCCAAGTTGTGCACAATTCTCAAAGGAACACGCTTTGCCTAATGACGGAAATTCCATTATTTGTTCTAAACTTTATTTTTCTAAACATGTGAGGACTATCTTTTATACATGTAATTAATTATTTTTCTAATTTTAACGGATCATCAAGAACCGTTTTTTGGAGGATAAAGCGTGATGATTTCGGTTGATCAATGCTAACTAAATGGCCAGCATCATGTACAATTACATAGGTAAGATTTCGTTCTGTGTGTAATTTACCGATTACTTTGTTGTTATCTTTATCGAGAATTGGTTGTAATTGATTATTCTTGAATCCAGTTTCACCTCCCCAACTCATATTTCCAATAGCGAATTCTGTCCCAATATGATTAATCAAGGGATCTTTATCACCACTTTTAAGAAAACGACAAAATTAGTGATTGTTTCCATGGCCACTAATTAACACATTTAAAAGTGAAATTACCTCCAAATCACGACTTTAATATGTTCAGTCAACCTTGGAATTATATTCACTGTTACCAACGAATGATCAGGTCTCAAGATTTCATTACATAATTTCCAAGGAGGCGAATTGGCAGGCATATGAATTTGTTCGAGTAATTTTGGATTCTAAACAAAAAAATACAATAATAAATCTATATTCTTTATACCGTGTATGGAATATCATATATAGCTTACTTGAAGAAATGCAACGTAATCGAATTCGCTATTCACAAGAAGAAATGGAGGTGCTGGATTACTGCAATTATATCTCACGTCATGTATCGAAAAGCATCTGAAAATGAATTATAATTAGACACGGAAGAATATACAGAATATAAGCGAGAAATAAAAACTTACGGATTTGATTTATAGATAATTCCAAGAGCAGCAATAGCTACATCACATTTCCCAAAGCCAGTAGTATACTCAGCTCCAGTTGCTTCTGATGAATTTTTACTTCCAATAGTTGGCTCGCATTTGTCTAATAGAGCTTGTAATGATGCCTTTTTTAAGATAACGTAAAATATTTTCATTTAGAAGAAATATATCGCTGTGGCATAATAAAGGATTCATTGATTACCTGCTCTGTGGCATTGATTAGATTCTGCTCTACTGCGTATGGAATAGCAGCAGCGACGACTTGGCGAAAATACTGATCAATTACTGCACTATTTATTGAAATTCCTTTTAAACGAAACTATTATCAAATAACCCCCGTTTTAGTAAGTATAATAATGCAAAATTAATATATATAATATTACCTTATTTCTCTCGTCAATTTCACCATTACTAAGAATAGACGCTGCTGCATAAGGAATATAAAAACCAGCATAACTAAAAAATATTACGAAATAAACATATATATATATATAAAAAATACTAAATAGCTGTGAAATGCTTTAGAAAAATTCACCTTTCACCAGCAAGATAAATATCTTTGTTACGCAAACGCGGAAATACTCTAAAAAAGTTTACCAGAAAATTGAAAATTGTTTCGCCAACCTAAAATTTCAGAAATATAAATGATAAAGTGACTTAAATGCTTAAAGCTTTCAAGAAAAAAAAATACTAACTTGAGTTTCATTTTCGACTTTTGTCTGTCCAGTCAAATTGGAAAAACCAACACCAAAAGGCTTTTTTTTACAAAGAGAAAATATATCATAAATAAATAAAATGTGAATTTCTTAATTACGTAGTCTGAGAATATCCTATTTACCTGGTCCACTACAATGATTTTGAAATATGTTAATATTCAATAAAATATTCAATTGCCAGGAATTACTTTTACGTAAAATGATTTTACCATAGACAATATGAGCATCCTGATGCCAACTATGTGGATTATTCGTAAGTTTCTTTGTTTTTCTGTCAAAACCTGAGAAAGGACCATGTTCTGCAAGTAAACTTGCTACAGAAGAGCTAAAATAAAATACGAAATATCAATATTCGTGCTTACATACAAAGAACTCATTAAAGAAAATGTTATGTACCATCCTGGACCTTTATTTCAAAATATTCAGTGAAATAATAAAATTTAATTAGAATAATTTTCTTTTGAATTTCTTATATTTTTTACACTTGCCTCCTTCAAACCAAAAAATCTATTTGAATATACGGTAAGAGAAGAAAGAAAAAGGAGGAATTAGGTCATTGATAATTTCACTAAAATCATCATTTTTTCAACATACCAAATCATTAGAACGTTTATTTTCTGATTCAAAATACCAAAAGAATAATGTATCATTGGGATTTTTACTTCCAAATACTGGTAACAATCCAGCATATTGTACAAGTTTTCCTTGAAAACTTACGCCTGGAAGTTTATTTGTGTCTACCAGGTATTCAGTGGCTATGATATTATTTAACGTGGTTTCAATAAGGAATTTTGATTTCTCACTAATTTTTTACGAAATCATTGAAATCTTTTTTTTTGAAACTTCAAAATACCAGATGATGGAAACTTAATAATCTTTTTAAAGCTGCTCCCAGCAAAATTGATATTAATTTTGTTATGTCCACATCTGATCAAATGTTGTGGTAATATTAATGCCAATAGCAACACAAGAAAAACTTTAATTCTACTAAGCATTGTATGATGTTTCTTAATCCTTTCGTATTATTTGTCTAAATTGTTTATTAAATTTGATGATGTATATAAAGGAACGAATTGAGGATGTGTATATAAGAATGAAAAGAATGACTAGGTAAAAGTTTACGAAGAAAAAATCATTCCATCATGTCAATTTATAAATTCTGCGATATAATACATCGGCTTCCATCTAACATCGTATACAATCGCATACATACATAACGATACAACGTTAACAAGGGAAGGCTACAACGAATTCTCAAATTAATTATTAATAAAGCACATAAAGAACACAGAGCCTTGCGTTTTAAATATGACACAAAATGATTCGATGCTTCTTTGTTTAATGCAGGTAAGCTTCACGTGTATGTATATTCGATTTAATGTACATAAATAGTTAGGATAAAAGGGTCATCAGTATGATGGTACAGGAAAAAGCTTAACATTAACATGTACGATTATAGCATAGCGATAAACTGTACTATAACTATACTGTCTTGATTTTATACTGCACTATGCTACATAAATCTTTTAAAATAACCTATATTCCGAACTCAACCCATACCCTAACCCTTTTCAAATACAGTACATGTAGTTTTCTCTATACTATTCATATCGATATACATGTACTATCGTATTAGTATACATTTATACACGTGATGCACACCATACTGATATCCGCATTACCCGGCCCGGATAAAAGTTTACATGTTGATCGATCAATCACACTTCTGATACTATAAATCCGCTTATTTTTCGTCTTGTCGCGAATCGTTATAGAAAGAAAATGGTTTATAAGATACCATCATTGATTGACAATAAACTTTCTCCACGTGCCAAAGATTTGATCGAGAAATTGGATGATTTCGTCAAGGTGAAAAAATGATAATTTTTATGCTCTATAATTTTTATTGAATTGATCTAAAATTACTGGTTATACAATAAGAATGATTGCATTCCATCGGAAGCGCTTTATTACGAGCAACTTGGTAAAGGTGAAAAAAGATGGAAGGTAATTTATCTAGGATAAAATAAATAATTTTCTCTTGTGAAACTATTTGGTGTATTTATAATATAATACATATTATCAGATTATTCCGCCAGTGATGGAAAAATTAAAGAAAAAAGCGCAATCGTTGGGATTATGGAATTTGTTCTTGTCAAAAGATTACCCAGAAGGTGCTAATCTATCAAATTTAGAATATGGTATGATGGCTGAAATTATGGGACGTTCTTTACGTATTGCCCCTGAGGTTATTTGAATCTTCATTAATGTGTAATTTTTTCAATGATAAATTAAAAATCTCATTTTCATTCTGATTATTAAGGCTACAAATTGCTCACCACCAGATACAGGTAATATGGAAGTATTTGCCAAGTACGGCACACCAGCACAAAAGTCACGTTGGTTAGTTCCATTACTCCGTGGTGAAATTAGATCAGCATTCGCAATGACAGAACCAAATGTTGCCTCATCAGATGCAACAAATATCGAGACTTCAATTCAAAGAATAGGCAATGAATACGTCATTAATGGACGTAAATGGTGGATTTCGGGATCAGGTGATCCACGTTGCGCTGTTTATTTGGTAATGGGAAAATCTGATCCTAAAAACCAAAGTTCACATCGACAACAAAGTTTGGTAATTGTACCCGCGAATACCCAAGGTGTTCAAGTTATGAGACCGTTGACTGTATTTGGATATGATGATGCGCCTGAAGGACATTGTGAGATTATATTTAAAGATGTTAGAGTTCCTGTTGAAAATATTATTTTAGGCGAAGGAAGAGGATTCGAAATCATCCAAGGTCGATTAGGTCCTGGAAGAATTCATCATTGGTAAACTACTTTTTATTTATTTATTTGCTGCTATTTTACTTAACAAACTATTATTAATCTATTTTCTCTAAACAAGTATGAGATGCATTGGTGCGGCAGAACGTGGCCTCGATTTAATGCTTACACGAGTCACCGATCCATCTCGTCGAACATTCGGTAAACTTTTAGCTGAACATGGTACCGTTAAAGCAGACATAGCAAAATCACGTATGGAAATAGATCAAGCTAGATTTCTTGTATTAAATGCTGCACACATGATCGATAAAGTTGGAGCAAAACGTGCAATGAAAGAAATCGGCATGGCTAAAGCTATAGTTCCAACTGTATTGCTCAACGTGTTGGATAGATCGATACAGGCACATGGTGCAGCTGGAGTATCTGGTGATACTCCATTAGCATATATGTATGCGCTCGGTAGAACTTTGCGACTTGCCGATGGACCAGATGAAATTCATATTCAACAGATTGGAAAATTGGAATTGAGACGTGCTAAAGAGATTAAAGAAAAGAGTGAAGTCAAATCAATTAATGTTTCTAAGTTATAGACATTTGATAGTACAAACTACTAGTACAAAAAAAATCCATGTCAAGTCGATGTTCTGTTGCTTCTTTATTTTACCATATAAAACTTTCATTTGACAGTGTCTTTCACTTGACAAAGTATCTTTCACTTGACAAAGTCTTTCACTTGACAAAGTAATCCTGAATAAAGATTTATCAAGGGATCGACGTGATGTTTCAGAATGGACAGCAATAAAATATCCATTTCCATTGTTTAAGATTTCCAGCAAAAGTGATTCCATACTTTCTAAAGCATTTTTTGAATGCAAATCTTCGCATCTGTATTGCCTGCTCGAATGACAGGAGAGTAATAAATTATTGCAGTGCCTTCGATCAAAGAGATTCTTTTTATTTACAAGCAAAATCCCTACTTTCATGGTATCTGAAGATAGATTGGCACAAATTGCACGTCCTGGTTATCCTTTATATGAAATCCTAAGGTGGCTTTAGGTTCAGCCCCAACACTGAGGCTATGATTTTTATATTTGGCGGCTTCGTTTCTAATATTAAGTGACAAAAAATATATCAAAAAGTAGGCTCAAATGAAGCTCGTGACATAGAATTGCAGGGACCATCGAGCTGCAACAAGCGCGGTGCGAAGACGGTCTAGCAAGGATATCATAAGTAACCCGTCTCATATAGTCCAAGTGGATTTGAGTAGAGTTGAAAAATACCTCGTCATACTTATTCGTTCCCCGATTCAGTAGTAAAACTTTCAATGTGCGAGTACTTGCAGACGACGACGAGCACCGAGAACGATGCTGTCATCCACATCATTCTAGCATCATCAACGAGTGCGAGAAGTATCGGACGGTTGCTATGGTTTCGACAGTCTTGACGGCTTACAAATTAAAATATTTCGATCGAAACACTTATAGGAAAATGTGAATATAAAAATGTCGTCTAGACTTATCAGCTAATCTTTACGTTAATATTAGAGAGCCTGATCATAAAAATAAAAGTCCAACAAAGTATTTCAATTAAACGGGCATAATGTACTTGAACGAGATCGCTATCATATAAGCGATTCAATATTTTACGAGTAAAAAATAATATTATATAGCGGTGCGTGAGGTTCAACCAACCGATGCTTTCAAGGAACAGTTCAAATTGCATTATCGAAAAACGTGGGCGGGTCAATTAAACTTGAAGCAAGTCACAACAAATTTTGCCTCTTTAGAGTAAACGAGTTGTGTGAAGTTCGATTTCGAGACTCATAGGTGCTCACTTTCTATAAAAACTTTTTTTCCACTCAAAACACAAATTCTACTTAAAAGTATATTGAGGTGATTATTTTTAGTTCCGAGTTATAATTAATAATTATGGTTGCCTCGAAATCGGAGGATTTCTCACGTCCGGGTGCATACACAGGTTAAGATCTTCAAACACGTGCCTTCGATGCTGTTTTAATTTGTATATTCAATTTCAGATCTCGTTAATACCTGACCATGACTGTTTCTGCCTTTCAAATTAAATTATGTAACGATATCGCGAGTCTCTTGGAGAATAGTAATACGAATGATGTAATAATTCGTGTTGGTGAAGAAAAAAAAGAATTTCGTGCACACTCTACTATTTTGTGCGCCCGCTCACGTTATTTTCAAATTGGACTTTCCCCCGAGTGGTCTAAAAAACAAAATGGCCAATATATATTTGAAAAACCTAACGTCTCGCCTCTTACTTTTGAAATCATTTTAAAGTACGTATCTTAGAGGATAAAGGAGACATTCATTTTCTATTTGCTCTAAATATAAATTCTATTCTTTTAGGTTTTTATATAGTGGTAAAATTGAATTGAATCAACATGAAGGCCCGGAAATTTTAAAATTGCTCGTCGCGGTTGATGAATTCCAATTAGATGATTTATCAGCACATATTCAAAAGTATTTGATCAAAGAGGAAACCGAATGGATACGTAAAGATCCAAAGCAAGTTCTAGATATTGTATTTAATCAGCAAGCTTGCACCAGCCTACGTAATTTCTGCCTCGAAACTATTGGCGAGGATCCCAAGTTAATTTTCGAATCCAATGATTTTCTTTCGTTGGATGAACCCATTTTAAAATTAGTTTTGGAACGCGATGATTTCGGAATTGAAGAAATTGAAATTTGGGATAATCTTATTAAATGGGGAATCGCACAACATCCTAACCTCTCTGAGGATGTATTGAAATGGTCACGACAAGATTTTGCAGATGTTGGGACGACACTGCAACAACTTGTTCCATTGATTAGATGGTCTCAAATAGACTCGCGAGATTTTCAACAAAAAATTATGCCGTACAAAAAAGTTTTGCCCAAACCACTTATGAATAGTATAATCGATCATTACTTAAATTCAGATATCCCGATACAATCAACTATGAAGGCTCGAGTTCTATGTACAAAAGTTGATTCTACAATCATCAATTCTAAAATTGCTGCAATGGTTACAAGTTGGATTGATAATCAAAGTTCAAATTATTATAACGAAAGACGAAATCCTTACAAATTTGAACTTTTATTTCGTGCAAGCATAGATGGATTTTCTGGTAATACATTTCGTCAAAAATGTATTAGTAAAGGAGCAACAGTCGTTTTTGCTAAGCTTAATTCTAACGAAATGATATTTGGAGGGTATAATCCAGCCAACTGGACTAACGATTCGAATTATCATAATTCTACTACAACTTTCTTATTCTCATTTTCAAATTCTCAAAATATTGGATCAGCACAAATCGGCCGTATTAAAAATAATAATTATAGTTATGCAACTTATCAGGGTTCAAGCTGTGGTCCAACTTTTGGAGGTGGGCATGATTTTGTCATCAACGGTAACAATTGGTCTAGCAATCCAAATCATACTTATCCTAGTGTTTTTAACAATATCCACGGTGGAATTTTACAAGATTATGAAGTTTTTCAGGTCGTAAAAAAATAATACATATCATTTGGCTGTCTTCCATTGGTTAGGCTCGAGTGGTAAATTTTAGAATATACATATAAAAAACTTGATTTCATTATTGTGTTCACGAGGTCCAGTGCATGCATGTAGATAAGATGATAAACTGGTTTATGTGCATACCCCTTTTCACACATCACTTCTGATAAAGGTGATAAAAAAGATAACGATAACCATAAAAAATTAATTGTGTGCTATTATTTATATATAATGAGAAATTAATGGCATGGCTGGCTAATGTTACAAAAATGGCTTGGATTTTAAATTAAAAAATACTAGTTAAATTAAAAGCGCTAATCTTTTAGCTTTAGCTTGAATATTGAACAATTTAGAATGCATGCATACAGGATTATCAATTAAATCTTTGTTTGACCTCGTACAATATCGGAACGATTTACTCTTCTCGCAGAAATAGGGGAACCGGCATTCTTTCGGCTACAGGAAAATAAAACTTTTTTTAATATATATAAGGCAAAAATGATGGTGGGCGTATATATTGTATGATTAAAAAAAGAAATTTGATAATGCTCATTTTTTTCTGTAACATGAATCTTTTGCCAAATTTATAAGTATTCGGCAAAATTTAGCCATTTTTGTTCTCTGTACAATTAAGTTGCATATGATTTTTGTAGATCATTGTTTAGAAAATGAAAACAGGAAGGGATAACGATAATATTAAAACAACAGGAAGTTAATATTAAGTCATTGTCAAATGTTAAAAAATGGGATTTCTTCGGCAATAAATAACACAGAAAATGAGTTGACACACAACGCACAAAGTTATCATGTAATCAAATGTGATATGTTGATGACCTTCGTGTGATGTAAAAAAATGATCTTATCTCTCTTTGTATATTTTGCATAATCTATTGATGCAACACAAACCTTCCTTTTTCCCACTTGTCTTATCCAATCGATCAAGATTCATCAACCAATCAGCCTAATCTTTCTTACAATTTATACATACGTATAAATTAAATAGCCTAATCTTTCTTACAATTTATACATACGTATAAATTAAATAGACATAAATGACAATCTCTTATCTTCTTTTAAAACCGTATTAATACGAAAAACAATCAACAATTACACAAACAAAACTCTTAGAATAATAGATAGGTACGTAATATATAATTAATAATATATATCTTATCTACCTCACCGCTGTTCTATAAAAATCGGGATTTTATTTTTTACAACCACGATATTTTTCGTTTTATTCAGTTTACCTTTTGATAATTTGATTGTGGGTTATTTTTACGCACGTGAAAGGTAACAAGAAAAACACTGTTTTTGAGAAAAAAGTGTGCAAATAAATAATAAGAAATAAACACGCAATTCGTTCTTTGAAAGAACAAAAGAACTATATACATAAGAACAATATAAAAAACCAAGCGAACCCCACTCTCAAGCACAAGAAATTTGACTTGCGTGAGTCAATTGATAACACGACCACTGTTATCCATAGATAAACAAATAATTTAAATACACGATGCACGTTTGGCATCAAAGTGCTACTTCCTTCACCACAAGTTCATATTCCTTCGATAATTTCAACAATACTAGTAATAGTAACAATAGTGAAGAATATTTATTAGATTTAGATGTTCTAAATAATTCTTCACTAAACTTCGCTCGTCCTGATTCTTCGAGGCTCTCGCATACTGCTGCTATGACGGCCGCACGAAGAATATTGCGTGACCAAGGATTACCTCGAAGAAAAGCTAACCATAAAGATGATGATTCAAAATCAACAACTACAAATTATCTAATAACAAATGGTGGTGGTGGTGGTGGTAGCAGTAGTAGTAACCATAGTAATAATAGCTGGGTCGCACCAAACACGTGGTGGCCTACTGCGCAACCTACATGGGAAGATTCATTATCGCAGGCACATGAAAAATTCCCGATCACAAGAGCACCGAAACCTCATAAATATGATACTGAGCAAATGAAACCTGGAGTTCATCCTGTTCGACTTAATATCGATTTGGAGAAGAAACAACAACAATATCATCAAAGTGTATCTTTTATTGTTAATGATGTCCTGTCAAAAGAGAAAATTCTAGCATCGGCGAAAATTGAACCTGTTAAGGAATTGATAAATAAACAAGAATTGATAAGCAAAAACGAAGAAATAATTACGAGTGATGCAAGAGAAAATCAAGAATCAATTGTCAAAAGAATGGATGAGGCTGATGATGTTGCTGATAATAATCATCATCATCAAATATCGAATCATCAATCTGATACAAACTCGGAGTTGACAGGAGAAATAAAACAGTTTTCACAACATCAGACACATCATCAACGCGAACCTATTCCAATGCTTCGTATACCTAACAATAACCCTTTTCGTCGTGTGTCAGCACCCTCATTTACATATGCTTACTTCTCAGCACCTGCCGCTAACTCAACAAATAATATGTTCTTTCAATCGTCCTCATCGTCAACTGAAAATTTTGAAATTCCATCATCAATACCTGACACACAACAACAACAACCACCACAACCACCACAACCACAACAACAACCACCACCACCACAACAACAACCACAACAACAACCACCACCACAACAACCACAACAACCACAACAACAACCACAACAACAACCACAACAACAACAGTGTTACTATCAATATCAATCTAATATGGTACTTTCACCGCTTTTAACATCATCATCATTATTATCATCATTTAATAATAACAATAATAGTCGAAATGATAATGATGATTTATCTATCGATACATCAAACATTCCTCCTATTGATACATCGGCATCAACGCTATCATCACAGATGACATCATCTTCATTAACATCACCTGTTAATCTTGTATTTACACCATCACAACCTCTATCACTTTCACCTTGCTCATCGACTTCCTCGGTTAGTTCATCATCACCAGGCAGTGAAATATCGACTGGAGTTAAACCATCAATTACAACCTCCACAACAACAGCAGCAGCAGCAACAACCACCACCACCGATCATATTTTCCTAAAAAAACAACAATACCCGCAAGATATTAACGATAGCCAACAGAAAACTACTATAATATCACCAACAACAACGACCACGACAATTGAAACTTCTATTGTTTCTCCTATGACCACAAGAAGAAGGAGTCAAGTGCAATTCATTATTCCAAACAGTGGAGAAGAGGGTGGTGGTGGTAGTGGTGCAATGAGCAGATATCGTAACAATAATATTCATATCAATAATAATCAGATCAATCATCATCATCATAATCATCAAAATCATCAAAATCATCATCATCAAAATCATTATAATCATTACCCAATGCAAACAAATGGTATGAGACCTAAGTCAAAGAGTATTTCAACTGAAAATCCATTCACAAATCATATAGCTTTCTCGGCTCCAACAATTTCAAGTGAATCCTATAGTGAAATTAGATCACCAGCTGCTTCTTGGCTCGGATATATAGCTAATATCACTAGTAGCACTCCAATGCCAGACGATGAAGGTGAACAAGTTGGCGAATATGTTTTAGGAAAGGTTATTGGTCGTGGTGGTTTCTCTACTGTGCGTGAAGCTTATACCGTAGACTCTGGATCTTTGGAAGAAGCTGCAATTTTGGAAAAAGTTGCAGTGAAAATCGTTAAAAACAATCCTGAATCGGAAAGTAATGATCGCCTTCAGGTATGCATTAATCTGAATTGGATCGTATTATTCAAATCCGTATTTATCTAATAAATATTATATTATTTAATACTAGGCATTGCTGCAACGAGAGATAGAAATATGGCGCCATCTTAAAAATCCTCATATCGTTCGAATGATTTCATACGAAGAAACAGATTACGCTACATTTATATTTGCGGAATTTTGTCCAGGTGGCACTCTCTTACAATACATTAAAAAAGCCAGCAGTGAATATGAATCAGGATTAGACGAAGATCAAGCTCGTGAAATTTTCCTCCAAATTGCTGAATCTGTTAGATATCTTCATAATGACATGAGACTTATCCATAAAGATATAAAATTGGATAATATCCTATTAGATAAAGAAGGCACGTGGAAACTATGTGATTTCGGTCTAACTGAATATCAGAGTGGTGATGACGATTCAAATAATGCACTACGTGATGAATGTGCTGGAGGATCTTTGGCTTATTGTCCACCAGAACAACTTCGTTCTAAGACCCCTATTAAAGAACTTTCTGTTGACATCTGGAGTCTTGCTGTTGTGCTATATGCTTTGGTCACTGGTCAATTACCTTATAATGACGATTTCGAGCCACGATTACAATTCAAGATTCTTAATGGAAGATTCGATGAGTCTCCGTTAAGAGATTCAAATGCTTCGGAAGATCTTCGTGAGCTTCTAAGAGGCATGTTCAAGACAAAACCGGAACAACGACTTACAATTAACGAAGTAATCGAGAGTCGTTGGTGTCGTCCATAATTGGACCAAAAAATCATAGACATTATTAAAAGTATTTTATTTTAATTCTCTTCTCTGTATATTATTTCTTTCTCCTGTGGGTAAACGGGATGATGATCGGGGATTTCTTTTACTGATGTGCGCATGTGTTCATATTTTTTCACAACTTGTATTATTAGATTTTTTTATAATTTGTTATTAGTATTATCGTATACACGTATAATCCCATTACATTTCCCCTTCCCCTTCTTTGTAATTAATAAATTATTCCTTTTATCTTCCTTCGTGTATGATATTTTTTTATTATCATCAATTTCGATGCTAACACTTTTTTATTCATTATTCCGATCATCTTTTAATCAAATACCCTTATTTATTCTTTCATTCTTCTCCCCCGATCATCACTCATCACCTCATATACACATCTTGCTAAATACTATATATTACATACATACATACATATATATATATTATAAATATCCCCTTTTATTTTTGATTTGCATTTTTTCTACCAAATTACACCTTATACTACAAAATCACAAAGACGAATCTTTTCATCATTAGCTGTGCAAAAACCAAATACATATAATTTTTCGAAAATGGACTTTTTACTCATATATACATTATAATTATTTGATCGTAATAAAGGATCATAAGAATCATAAAATCAGCTTGAAATGGTCTATCACTTGAAACATCATAGAATTAGTAATCACTTCGAGTTTCTACCGGGGAAAAAAGTCAATTGACACATGATATAAAGTGAAGACGAAAAATAAATGCATGCTAATAATTATCATTCAAAAATTCCGTATATGGTTATCAGCAAACTTTTTGTGCACAGGAATCCTCATAGAGAATACCGAGGAAAATTACCAAGAAAAGCCATTAACACATGATGTACATCAAGTAAAAACGAGAGTAAATTGTCATTCAAAAATTCTGTATATGGTATCAAACCTTTTACTGTACAGAATTGGGGGTAAAAAATTTGTCGTGTAGGAAAATGATTGGTGATGAATAATCGAAAGAAGTCGTTTCATTTTCTCTGTCAAATTAAGAATTGTAATGTTTATCGTTATCGTTATTGAAACATGTTTATTGAATCACTTTCCTTTAAAGGTTGTCTCACGAGCACAAATAGACAAGGATAAAGTTTTCTATGAACTAAAAATACTTTTTACCGTTAATACTATTGTTAGCATTAATATTTAAAGGAAAACGAAATACGAGTGTAATTTGTATTTTAAAAGTGAACTTGAAAGAAGACAAAGAAATAAAAAAAATGGCAGATAATAACCAAATAAATGAAGAAGAACCTCTGATTGATACTTTTGATGTCATTATTTTACTGGCGGCAGGAATCTGTGGGTTACTTTATTTTTTCCGAGAAAAATTATTTACAAAACAAACTGAAGTACCCGCGCCTCCACCTCTAACCACATTAAACCGCGGACTTGTTAAGAAGAAAAACAAAGACTTTGTACAAAAGATGCGAGATCAAGTAAATCGTTGCATTTTTTATTCTACGAAAACTAATGTCCTTTGACAATAATTGATTCACGTGATATCATTAATTGATAATTAATTTTTGATTAGGATAAAAATGTAATCCTATTTTATGGTTCACAAACGGGAACAGCAGAAGATTATGCGTCTCGTCTAGCAAAAGAAGGTGCACAACGTTTTGGCCTTCGAACGCTGGCTGTAGACGTTGAAGATTGCGATATGGCATTACTCGATAAATTCCCCAAAGATTGCATGGCATTCTTTTTGATGGCTACATATGGTATATTATAATGAAGAAAGACAGATGTTACTCTATAGACTGACTGATAAATAATTAACGAGAAAACAAATAAATAATCACTATAGGTGAAGGTGAGCCAACTGATGATGCAGTTGACTTTTGGGAACTACTTAATTCAGAGTTACCCGAATTCTCACAGGGTGATGCTCCAGAAGACAAACCGTTATCAAACCTGAGATACGTTGTATTTGCATTGGGTAACAAAACATACGAGCATTTTAATGCTGTTGGACGTTACATTGACAAAAAATTAGAGGAATTGGGTGCAAATAGGGTTTACGTAAAAGGTGAAGGTGATGATGATGGCAGTTTGGAGGAAGATTTTCTTGGTTGGAAAGAAGATATGTGGAAGGCTGTCTGTGAAGCAATGAATGTAGATCTAAACGCTGTACAACCTGGGTATTGTATCTCTCTTTATGTATCTCGTTCATAAGCGTCTTGTCTGGCTTAGTAATTAAGTAATTAATCATTTTATCAATTAATGCATATCGCAAATGATATAGGGCTCGTATTCCTACTTATACGATTGAGGAATTAGGTGAATATGATCAAACTAACGTCTTTTATGGTGAATTCAACGAGAAAGCACTTTCTGTTAATGGAATGCAAGTATCAAATTTATTATGATGGGTTCAAGAATCCGATTCCTTCGCACAAATCGTATGATCTTATATTGAATTCTATTTAATTAATAGTCCTCTTACATACGATGCAAAGAATCCATATCCGTCATTTATTCAACGGACTCGAGAACTTTTCAACGCTACCGACAGAAATTGTGTTCACGTGGAATTGGATATAACAGGATCAGGACTTACCTATCAATCAGGCGATCATGTAGCCATATGGCCTATGAATTCGGAGCAAGATGTGTATCGACTGCTCAAAGTTTTAGGTCTTTGGGAAAAGCGGGATAAAGTTGTCATGGTGTCAAGCTCAGATTGTAAGTAATATATATATATATAATCACTATATATAAGTACCATACGTAATCACTATATCTATAATTAATACTATGAGAAATCTGCGATCTAATAAAATACCTATTTTAGCATCAGCCTCAAAGAAACATCCGTTCCCTGTACCAACAACTTACGCCACAATTTTCCGAAATTACCTTGATATTCATGCACCTGCATCACGACAGTTTATTGCCACATTAGCAAATTACATACCAACTCAGGAAGGTCGAGCAAGACTAACCACATTGGGTGAAGATAAAGAAGCCTATAAAACTCAAGTGGCAGATGCTCATTTAACACTTGGTGAACTTCTCGAATCAGTCGCACAAAGCGGTAAAACATTGGAAGAAATTCCGTTAGACCTAATAATTGAAACTTTGCCAAGACTACAATGTCGATATTATTCAATCTCTAGCACACCAAAAGTTTCACCTACTTCAATTCACATAACCGCTACTATCCTAAGTTACCACCCAAGTGCAGCACCCACCAAAACAGTATATGGACTTGCCACCAATTATTTGTTACAAGTTCATCGTAAACTAGAAAATATCGAACATCCTGAAACAGCGCCATACTATTTATATTCGGGGCCACGGAATAAATTCCATGACGAGAAAACGAATACAATCAAATTGGCATTGCATGTTCGACATACCAACTTTAAATTACCGCGTAATTTGGAAACGCCGGTTATTATGGTAGGACCTGGTACCGGAATTGCGCCATTCAGAGGATTTATACTTGAGCGTGCAAAATTCAAATCTGAAGGTGAATCAGTTGGCGATACCGTATTATTCTATGGATGTAGGAAAGAAAATGAAGATTTCTTGTATAAGGATGAATTGCGACAAGCGTTTGCTCAACTTGGCGATAGTGGTAAATTATTTACCGCATTTTCGAGAGAACAAGTAAGTTTTTTCGAGTATTAATGATGAGGTTATTTATTAATGGTTTATTCAACAACAATAATAATAATAATTTAATAAATAATAATGATTTAGGAACATAAAGTGTACGTGCAACATCGTCTTATGGAAAATGCAGACTATATATGGAAGCTTCTTTATGATCATGGTGCCTTTTTCTATGTATGCGGGTAAAGTATCATTTAAAATTTCTGCTTTGAAAATAGATCATTTTATATTGACTGAATTACTTTATAACAGTGATGCCAAAAACATGGCCCACGATGTAAACGATTCACTTGTACGCATTGCACAAAAACATGGAAGTATGGATGAAGCACGTGCTACTGCGTATGTGAAAGATTTAAGGAATCAAGGAAAATACCAAGAAGATGTTTGGAGCTAAAACGAGTTGTATTTTGAGTCTTTTTGTTGATTGGAGGAGACAAAGAGTAGGATGATATTCCGAAACTCAAGAAGATTGCTAATGATAGATATGACGGATATTTAGTTATAGATGCATTGATTAATAAACACATTCCTTATGAAATTTTTCTTTACATTAGTAAAAATTAATTATCAAATCACACGCATGCACCCTTTCTCTGTTCTTTTTTATATATAGAATAATCAATTTTTAGATGAAAAGAAAATATGGACACTATTGGTGCTCAAGATCGTATTATATTCTTTCTTTCATAACTCATTATTTATGAATTTACTGATTATTTAATTCTTTCACCACAAAAATTTGTCGCATATATAGATTAATTTATTTGTGCGTGTTTTTAATACTATTCTAAATATACGAGTGCTTGGAGTTTTATATTTAATATATAAAACTAATCTGCAGATATATTGGGATTTGAGTGTATGCAAAATTCCCTGATTCTAAGTATATATATCGATATATACACGTAAACTCATAAATTCCGTGCATCAACATGTAGTAAGTATATCATCAATTAAAATAACTTTTTATAGAACAGAATAAAGCCAAGTGTTTTTATTAAGAATCAGTAGCCAAAGAACCAGTCTTTTCCACAAAATCTTTAATGAAACTAGAATCTCGTAATCCGATAAAAGTATCAATTTCTTTTCCCTTATGAAAAGCCTTCACTGTTGGTAATGAACTGATCTGTTGTCATTATTGTTGTCGTTTTCAAACAAAGATACGATTAATTATCTAATCAATTGCATAATAATGAATTGATCTTCTTTATTTGACACTTACCATAAACTTTTCAGCGACCAATTTATTCTCCTCGATGTCTAATTTCACAAGTGTGACTTTTTTATTGGCTTCTACTACCTTTTTTATTAATGGACCGAGAACTCTACATGGTCCACACCAACTATTGTTTATAAACAATAGTTAAACAATAATTAATATCAAGCAGACATCAAATGGTCATCTTATCTCACTCTGCGTAAAAATCCACTATAACAGGTTCGCTGGCTTGTTCAACCAATTTCTCAAAGTTTTGGTCAGTTCCTTTCAATTCCTGACCAGTTTGTGCCACTTGTGAACTGTGAAAATAATGTTGTCGTCTCCGATTGGATAAGGCTTTAATATTAATATATAATAGTTTTAGAATGAAACCAAACCAACAACATTCTCAAGGTAAACTCAAATCACACGTACGTGATAGAAAATAGCGTGTGGTGCGAGAAAAAAGACGTCGATTGAGCATTTTTCTTATCTTTGCCTATCCTTGTAAGTTTGTTATTATTCTCGTAATTTATTCTGATTAATCTAAAAGTTAAAATCCACCAAACTTTTATAGTTTAGACAGGCAGGTTAGACGTTTATCAAACTTATTATGTAACGGTAATACTAATACTAATACATTTAATTGTATAATTTGATAGCAAATTTATTTTAATTCTGAAGAAATTAAAAATGCGTCTAGTAACCCACAATTTGCTACAATGCCATGTCAAAGGTTGTGACACCAACAACTTCCCTTTGGAACTGTCAGAGATAGAATGTGAGTCGCAAGAAACGGATTTTAATCCACAGTTTCTGCGAACCATGGTGCCGAAATTGGAGTGGGACGCGTTGGTTAGAACTGCAATGAAGGTTTGGATTTTTATTTGAATGCTGAATTTTTTAAAACAATTTTTGAAGAAACAGCTTAATTTAAAATTTGTCGGATAATTGAAATCCCTTTATTATATAAATAGCTTGGCATCACAACCCTTCCGGATAAAGTACCAGACACGCCAATCCAAGAGCTCGATGAAAAGTTTCTGAGAAATCTTCACACAGTCTTATTCGAGGTAATATCCTTTTTCTTTGGTTGATCAATATCGACGCGTTTTTTTTACCGCTAATAAATGATTCTTTCTTAGACACACATACAACAAGGGAAAATGACGTGTCCTAATTGTCAGCACGTGTACCCAATCAAAGACGGGATACCGAATATGTTATTGAATGACAATGAAGTATAAAATCAACATCAACACCACAAACAACCATAATAATTAACATTAATACCGCCATAATATAGAGTAGCGCCGGGTTTTGATTTTATTTAAGTTATAATTATGGGGGAAGGTGTATCTCGATTTTTGTTTTCATAAATATTGTAGTATATTTTAACATTAGTAGCATTAATAGCATTAGTAGCGTTAAAGAATAAATAAGCATTTGCAATTGATATTTCAAAGTATAAATTTATGTATCATTAAATAAAATGTATGATCTTGATCATAATGATATTTTCATTTCATTAACATCAATAATTCTGGGTGGCTGATATCTAAAAACATAAAAAAATTTAAAAAGAATTTTAAAAAAAATTCCATAATATATCAAATGCTCACCCAGCCTCTTCATCTAATCCATGTATTGCATCAATCGACAAATGAACAGTAATTGTAGGAATCAGTTGACTATTTCGATGATTAAGTATTATATAAAATATTTAAATTTGAAACAAAATGAATTTTATCCTAAATCTTACCTCTCCTTCTTCTTCTTCTTGAGCTTGGTCTTCTTTTCTTTTTCAATTGTTGATTCTAAATTAAATTCACTTGATGACAAATCTTGAGAGCCCTCTTCTCTTTCACATCCAATTAAAGTATACTGATGTACTCGATAACTCATTATTCGTTTTATGATCTCGACAATTGAACATGTTCTTGTGACTGTCTTTCCCTTTCCATGTATTATTACTATTTTATTGTGATTGCTATTGTTTTTATCTTCAGTGGTTATGATCATTTCTAATTCTGTTTCGTCGGTTTTTTGTTTTTTGCTAGTGTTGACATTTTTGCCATTGTCATTATTAATTTCCTTTAAGATTAAAATATTAAGTCTTTGCAATTTCCCAAATGAAAATCACAATAATAAAGATAAAAAATAAAATCGCTACTTTATCCAATTCCACTTGATCTATGAAATCAGGAGCAAGAACTTGCAATGCACCCTTAACATATCCTTTGATTTTTCCATTCATCGATACATTGATAACTTTTTGTGCATTAATTACCATTGATCCAGTATTCAATCCAGTATTCAATCCTATAGCAGTACCAGCAGCAGCATCTTCTTTTTCATCTATGATCAATGTGGCTTTTTGAGGTTTTTTTCGCTTTTTTGTGGGTGGTAGCTCGACAGGCTCTTCATAATTTATGTACGAGACATTAATAAAAATATAGTAAATGAAAGCCTTGTTGTCTATTCCTTATATAAATACCTTGTCGTGTCGTTTTAAGCATAGTCAGTGTCCTTTGTGAAGATGATATATTGTTGATCCGTTAGATTTTGCAAAGGTCATGTGAAATAGTTTTAATAAAACATGATACTCATTATTTGCATTCATCGAAAATATCTACACATCCATGTTCGTTAGTGTTTTATGAATATTTATACATTTGACATTCAAAATTCTAATCTTTTATTCTAAAACCTATGTCCTAAAGTCTAGTCACCACAATAAATAACATGACTAATTATTTAGAATATTTGAGTTTTTTGTTATTCGGTCTTCTATAGTGACATTATAATTAGCAAAATCGAATTCTTAGGAATTGGCTTTTTCCGATACTTTTTCATCGTCTTTACCGATATTGTCATTATTTGATCTCTTTTTTGGTGGATTCGTTTTTGCGCGACGTATTGTTCGTTCAGACTTATCATCATCTGGGGCTTGCGGATTGCACTTTCGGTGATAATGAAAAATTTCATATAGATTACATAGTTCATATATATTGGAAAGAATTCAACAAACCTCGCATACAACCCATTCTATAATTCACGGAATAATCAAAGTGTCTTCATCTTTTAAACGATCATTCTTTTCAATTATAGAAGAGAATGCAATTCTCGAAGAAAGCGAGATAACATTTCTTAGTAACTGACAATGATGGTTTTAAACTAATTCGAAGAATGCTGGCGGGTTTCTCCAGAGAGGTATTTGTTTTGATATCAGCAGTTTGCCAAACGAAGAGAATAAGACGTAGTGGCCATTCATAATATCATTTGTGAGATCAGGCGTCTACTGGCAAAGATTCCTAAGGAAGGAACGTTTGAGTTATTAATATTCATATGCTATCAGATACTTATTACGCGACTATTGACTTGGATCAGACTGAGGTAACTCAAATATTAGGTGTTATAGTAGTTGCCAATGAATTCGAGTTAACAGAGCCATCAACGCATCTCCAAAACTGTTTGATATTTGAAAGAGACAGATGGGTGAAACAGGAACCACTTTTTATTCTTGAGATTGTGTTAATGGATTAAGTGAACGTTGCATCGAATTAATCTGTGCACAATCAAATCTAATTTTCAGCAAAAAAGAAAAGAATTTTTTTTGATAGTCTTTCAGTCATGGGATTGATTTTGTCAAGAGGTGATCTTCCTGTCCCAGCGCTTTTCATCATCAAAATATATTCAAAAATAGACACCGTACGAGTTTCAACAATTGGAGGTGACAGCCTGTTCTTATCCATTTATTTCAAAAGATTTATATCGTCCAAGACTCGGAATAATTGATTACAATTTATCAAAGAAAATTCCAGCTTGACGCTAGAAATGGAGGTCATATAGGGTATTAGTATTCAATTTGAACTGCTATTCCGAACTTCAAAAGGTAGTTTCAAGAATGATGCATTTCATGAATTATGCGATGATCAACCCTCAACCTTAGTGATTGCAAAGTTGAATATCACGGGATTGATTATCGGAGGTTACAATCCCATCAGTTGGGAAGAAAAGGATAAAATTACATCATTTCCTTTCTCAATATCTGACCTCACAAAATTCATGTTAACCTCGAAAAATAAATATATGTACTATAGTATTTTACATTCTGAATCAAGAAAAACTACAAAATTTTTATGATAAGAATATAAATAAATGTGATTCATTTATGTTACATTTTTTTTGTTTTTCCAACTGTCTCTTCCAATTTCTCCAAAGATTTTTTTGGACTAACTCTAGCAGGTAAAACTGTTGACTCCAATTCTGTTTCAGGATCAAGATGATGTGTTAGAATATCTTCGTATAAGCCTTCAGGTAAAATTTTCTTAAAAGGTCTAACTTTTCTCGAGAATTCAAATGGTTGAATTTGAAACCATCTAACCAACGGGATACATTGATGTAATGTGGCTTCCAAAGTGGCGAAATCTTTTGCTAACCATTGTTCTACATCATATTTCAATAAGGGATTCTGCGCCATTCCCCAATTTCGTAAATGTTCCCAAACTTCTATCTCTTTCATTGCTAAATCATCACGTCGCAAAAGTAATATTAAAACTGATTCGTCGATTTGTAGAAAGTTCGACGAATCAAAAACTAGACCAGGATTTTCACATATGGCTGATAAACAATAATCCCGAAGACTTTTGCACGCGTGGTTTTGAAATACGAGTTCGAGTATTTGTACAGGATCTTGACGAAGCCATTCCCCTTTTTCTTCAATTAGAAAACTTTGAATATGTTTAGAGAGTTTGTAAAGATTATGCTCCTCGGCTGCTACTAACAAATTTAAGATTTCTGGCGCTTCTTGATTTTCCAAATCAACCACTCCAGAGTATATATATCTATAAAAATGAATAAAAACACGATTATTATATTTTATAAAAAATTAATTATTAATTATTCATAATAATTACTTTAATATAGCTCCAAATATATTTGGCATAACATTAGGTTTCAATAAAACCAGAAAATTCCCTTCTTTTTTTGTTCTAGAATTAGATAAAGCCGTTCGAAAATATGGTGAACGTGATTGTAGAATAAGCGAATGGGCACGAAGTTCTTTTACAATTGGTTCTTCACCCGCGTAAATTATTACATCACATCCTTCACCACTTTCCAATAATTGACCAAAATCGTCTGATAAATCATTCCAAAGTTCAATTGCTCGTGCATTTGCCATTTGCAAAACTTGCAAACATATAAAAATCAGATTTCGTTGTTTGTTTACATCTTGTTTGGTGTCACGACTTCCGCATAATGCTACATAAAATTAATGTCGCATTATCAATATTTTTGTAAAGGATGTTCGTAATTGGAGATGGGACCCAAACTACATGTATAAGGTTTTGTCATTTGCCATTTCCAAAACTTGGCTAAATTAGTTTGGGAATTAAAGAATCACTTGCTGTATATTTCAAATATTTGTGATATGACATAATCCCAATTCCAAATTATTCCTAATTATTTCAAATTAAATTATAAAATGTTAAAAAAATATATTTATTAGTTAAATTATTCATATTAAAATTCATATTTCCTTGTCCTTCTATATTATTAGATCTGGATGTATTATCAATATTATTTTAAAAAAATAAAATCAGTTAAATTGAGAAGAGTTTCAATAAATACCCTTGTATTTTCTTGTATCATGTCCATTATTTTTTGTATTATATTTATTATTTTTCACATAACATATAAGAAATTAACACAGATCTACATTAATATTTCTTAATATCTCATCAAATAAATTAGATGTGAAATATAAATCACATTATTAATTTAGATACATATTATTTTTAATTTAGATACATATTATTTTTAATTTCTTTTATTTTTATTTGTTCTTCTTTTATTTTGTATTTATTATTTTTAATTTCATATTAAATTATTTTTATTAATATTTATATTATTATTTGTATCTAATTAAGTACAGCATAACTTGGAGATATGTTATTTTAAGATTAATAATTTAGAACCAATCATTCTTTATTTATTATTAATTTATTTGTAATTCATAAAATATCAATTATATATTTAAATATCTTTGTTCTATATTCTAGCTTTTTAAATTTTTTCACTATTTAATAAATAAAGAATAAGCTTATTAAAGTTAAAACTGAAAATTATCTTAATTGATATAATTTATTTACAACAATTAATAAATTTATCTTAATATTATTCACATAAGAAAGTATTCTTACAACTTGATAGCAATAGATAAAGATTATTAAAGTTATAACACATATTTTATATATCAAGTTTTATATTAATAAAGCTAGCTTATTAATTCTTTGCATTTGATTTTATTATGAAATTGTTAAAAATATATTTTGAAACAAGTTTAATAAATTTTTTCATTTTTAAGTTATGATCATAATATTAAGGATAAAAATAATATGTCAAAGTATAAATATCTATATTGTTACTATTTTTATGAGCTTCAAGTTATTTATATATTATTCATATGTTTCTATTATTAGAAACTAAGTTTTATGGTGGGAGAGACTAAAAACTATTACTAAAGGTAAATAACATATATTCTTGTTGTAATGAGCTAGAATGATATTTAATAACTTCATTAAACTTTACTAAGTTTCTTTTATAATTTTAAAGATAAGAATTCAAGATAATAAGACTTCCAAGTGATTGTTTTTCAAGTCAAATATAACAATTGATTATTTAATAGTGATTTATCTTTCAAGATCAAAATCAATATCAAATATAACTTTATTAAGTTATTATCAAAGTTTTATCAAACAAGGACTTTATCAAACTTATTATTAAGTAAATTAATTATTTTAAATTACTAGTTAAGTTATATTGCTTTTATAATATTTAATGAATTTATGAATGCTACTTTTACTATAATACTATTACAAGTTTATTTACTAATTGTTAAATTAGCTTACAAACTTAAACCTGAATTGGGAGAGAGTAATAAACTGATAAAAATATTATTGTATAACAAATTTTGATCAAATATTATACTAGACCATTCATATTTAATATTATTAAATTATAAATATCTTATATTTTATTGGAAGAATCTAATCACATGAAACAAGTAAATAAACAAGCAAGTAAATGAAAAAACAAGTAAATAAACAAGCAAATAAATGAATAAATAAACAAATATTAAACCAATAGAATTTAAGTGATATAGCGAATATGAATTCATATAGTTGATAAACTATATTTTGAATTTATATAAAAGCAACATGTATTGTAATTATTAGAATTAGATATGAACAAGTTTTTTTAGATAGTAATTCTTAATTATTACATCTAATTAATTATCACGTAGTTTTGATCATTCAAAGAAATAAAGTTTATATTTTATGTAGAGTAGATAGTTAAATATAAATTTCTCTTTATATTTCTTTAACAAAGTATTCTTATTTCTTGTATAATCACTTTAATACTGTTATCATAAGTATTATACAGATCTTGAATTAATATTATAGTAGCTTAAACAAGATTGTTAGAAGTACTATAAAAGTTATCATCTTAATACTAGATTATCTGAATATATTTGTGATGAAATCTATTGAATATTATATTAAATAAGGAAATTATTATAATTCATAAATCTGTCTTTGAGATTGTATTACTAATAATATATTGCTCATAAATTTATCTTTAATTTTGTATTATTGATAATATATTATTCATCTTTGATTTTATATTGCTGATAATATAAATATTATAATCTTTATAACTTTGACTCTGAGATTTTGAGAACTCTTTCTAATAGTCCAAATTATTGTGTTTAAAAAATACAATTTTTATCAAACTTTAAGTAATTTTGTCACTAGTACTTTTCGTACTTATTTATATTCAGTCTAATAGTTATAAAGTATTATTAATACTTTGAATTATCATTAAGATATTGAAAATTTCCCTTTGAATATTCTTTAAATTTTATAAATACCTTTGTGTATTTTGAAAGTCAATTAAAATGATAATAAAATTTTGGTGCTCTCTCTGTGAATCAAAATCTCAAAAATATTATTTTGAAAGTACGTTTAGAATAATTATTAAATTTCTTGTGTGGATTAAAATTTCAAAATATTATAAAGTTCTGTTATAAAAGAACAATTATTAGTAAAAGAATTCTCTATGAATTATATTTTTAAAAAAATATTAAGTAAAATATTTAAGTGACATAAAAGAATTTTTGATTAGATATTTACCAAATGAATTCTCTGTGAATGAACAAAACTATTAACTATACCTTCTTAATTTTTCAAACTGGATCCAACACAATCAACTGATATTAAAATAAATTATGTATTTTGAGAATTTCAGTAAAGAATAATTGAAGAAAATAAAAGATCAGTTAGCAGAATCTTTAGTAAATCTACATGAAAAATTTAACTACTGAATCAGTAAAGCAATTTATCTGACTATTGAGAAAATATTCTCAATAAAGTGAATCAAAAATATAAATATACATGTACAATTTTTAACAAGAAATTATAAATTTTACTATACAAAGAAAAGCACATCATCGACAACAAAAACTTCAAAAACAATTAACAAAATTACAAAATTCAGAAAATCAAATTGTAATTAAAGATGATTTATATTTACTAACTCTAGAAGAAAATTTTAAAGAAGAAGATCTAAAAGATCAAGTAATCCAAATAATAGAAGAAAAAAGTGAAGAAGAACCTAAGTTAATCATGAATAATATACAATTTAATCAGATAATAACTGGATTAACCAATTTAACAAATGCTATCCAAGTACAAACTAATGTTGCTCCACTAGCAAAAGAAGTATTCTTTGCAAAAATTGTTGATTTCTATGAAGATATTCAAGATTTTATTGAATAGTTACAAGATTTTAAAAGCACATATCAAGTGAATAACATATTTAATATTAGAAAAAGACAAATTATTGGTACATATTTAAAAGATTCTATTGGAATATGATTAGCCAACAAAAAAATTATTGATACTGATTGATCAACTTAATGAAATTCAAATGATATCAACAATTATATTGATCAAGTTATCTCTTTTACATATTAATTTAAACAAACATTCAGAATTGTTGATAAAATCTATAAATGACAACAATAATTAAATTCATATAAGCAATTATTAATTAAAATAGTAGAACTATACTCAGCTGCTATTAAAGAATTACTTCATTATATTGATTCTGATAATAGATATTCAGAATATCTTAAAGTGATGATATTCAATGAAGATTTAAAACCAAAAATTAAATTCTTCATTAGTTCAACTAGATTAGCTATCTTAGATAATACTATTCATATCACTTAATTATCAAGTTATCAACAAATTGGAGAATTAAATTCTGTTATTGCAATATTAAATATCATAAATCTGTTAAATATTTCAATATTTCAACCATCAGTTGAAAACAACATAGTTCAATTCTTACAACAATTAGAAACCTTAATAATGAAACTAGAAAATTCATTAATATTGAATAATCAAAATCAAAATCAGAATAGATCAAATAACAAATATAATAATAATAGCAGAAATTATTTAAATAATCAAAGAAAAAATTATAACAATAATAATAATAATAATAATAATTTATCAACAGCTTGTTATAACTATAAAAAAATTAGATATATTACTGTTAGTTGTCAAAGCAAAAGAAATAATAATTATAATCAACAAAACAATAATTAGAATTATAATAATAATAATAATAATTAATATCAAAATAGAGATAATAATAATTAACAGTTCAATAATAATAATCAAAACAATAATAATAATAATTGACAAGAAGCTTTCTTAAATATTGAACAGTCTTTAAATTTCTAAATACACTTTAAGAAAATGAATGTGCATTACAAACTAAAAATTCTTTAAAACAATTCTTAGAGCAACTATTAATTAACAATAACAATATAAATAACAAAATTGAACAAATATTCATCAATGTATTACATTGTACTAGAAAAGTAAAAATAGAAATGCTACAATAATTATAGATAGTAGAGCTATTAGTAATATTATATCTAAAGCATATTTGAACAAAATTAATTGGAAAATTCATAATCAAGTAATATTAATCTTATTGGAATTAATAAAATAAAGAATGATCACTTGGAGAAATAATAGATCTATCAATAATATTAAATGACAAAAACTTAAATATTAATACTTTAGTAACTGAAAAAGGAGATTA